TCTCTTTCCGGCCACGTAGATCACTTCATCATCGTCACTTTCCATGCTTACTGGCTCAGCTACCGGTTCTTCGGCATTCTCCTCTGCAGTTAGTGTTTCCGGCGGTTTTGTCTGAAATCCAATACCATAAAAAACCAGAAAAAATTGCCTATGCCGATGAAATAACAACTAAGCTTTTGATAACAGCGAGAATGGAGGGAAAAATGACGGACAAATCGGAGTGCTATTTAACTGACGTGAAGCGTGTACACAGAAAGTCATCAGTGAAACAGAAAGCTCTATCTGTAGACAAATACGGAAAATACGATAGGGTTAGAAAGAATAAAAAAGAGTCGACATACAACAAAGGCTATCAGAAAGACACAAAATTTAACCAAACGAATAAAATACCTCAAATTTTAAGGCAAAAAGACGCCTAAATTAACTCAAAATTTTCAAGTCCGGCTATAAATACAATGTAAAAACTGACTCTGAAGCCCAAAACCAAAAAAAAAAGGAACTTTGTGCAGAAACACTATTACTGTGGATGCATGCTCTTTTCCGAAAGCCAAGTGTGCCAGTTTTTAATCAATAAAACAACTCGTAGCCTAGAATCAGAGACGTTCGGGATGACAGCATACATCAATGGCACCTCGAGACAGCCAAAACCTTGCTAGATGGTTCTTTTCGGATAATAACACAACAAACTCAGATGACCCAAGGATTCTGCAGAGAACCAAACAAAGTAAAAGGCAGTACGGGCCTCAAACGCCCTGTGAGGGAATGGAAGAGGATGGAAACCAGGACCACGAACAGCGGCCCATTCAGCGAAGGGTAGCTACCGGCACGGTCGTACCAACCATAATTGCAATAGGAATAACCAGGGGTAAGACGGTGGCCGTCCAGAATCCAATGAGGTAGTGAAGGAAGGAAAATAAAAAGGTCAAGATTGTTGTGACGCATATTTACAAAAACAGAGTGGCATATGAAAAAGTTATGTGAAGAGTTGTATGTAAAAAAAGCTTGCCTGTGTTTCATCCCTAAACTGTAAACACGGACAGCAGGAGGCGTGATTAGGGGGTGGGAATCACCAGTACAGCCCCCTAACCACCATGTTACAGAGGGAATGGCGTGATAGAGAAAAGAAGTAGGACAAAAAGAAAAAAGTCCAGATATTTAAAAGGCTGACCATCAGTCGAACAAATGGAAAAATTGCTAGCTGGGGAATTCGACTACGAAATACCGCTGTTCCAATTCTTTTAAGCAGATTGTAGCAATCAGGTTGACCTTGGAAGCTTAAATGGGGAAAGCGTTAGGCGCGCCATTACTGAATATTATTATTTCTCACAAAATTCAAGCTAACCTCTTCGAATTCGGTGACTAACAGACTGTCGATATCATTTTTGGTTGGTTCTTGAGGTTCATTCAGATCCGCAGGATGTTCAGGAGATGCAGCCAGAGGACTCGCCGTTTGTTCATCTCTCTGAAAAAACAACTCATAAGCTGTTCACTGTGCAAGCATTTCAAATGACTGCTATAGTGAACGGAGTCTGTTTTTTATGCGTTTTTTGCAGCTATGCAATGCAGAAAACGCATATTGACGAGAGGTCGTCTGTGTGTGTGTGTCTGTGTGTTCGTCTGTACCGATTTTTTTATAAAGGATGTGAAGCCGCAAGCGCTTGAAAATCTCTTTATTATCTTCCGACCGTGACGTGCTAACCATTATACTTTTAGCCCCTGTATTTCATGCTCAGCATTTGGAGTTTATGCGTCAAACATACATAAACTTTATGATGAGATTAATTTCTGTTACGGCTGTCGTACATTTCAATTTTTGCCGGCTTTTTGCGGATATCCAATGATAACATAAGCTAGAAACTCGAAATTCGACAGAAGCTCTTCGGTTCGGTTTTACCTTAACTACTCACTAATTGGTTCAGTTATTCATTTTCTCAGTGTCATGACCAGGCAAGTTCGAAATTAACAATTAATTTGGACTGGGATTAAAATGTTCTTACCTGACTGCCATGTAACCATGGCACAAGCTTTTTGGGTTCCACTTCTGAGGTTGCACCTTCTTCCACAATACTCACCGAAATACCGTTCTGATACATCGTTGATCGTGATGCTGCTGCCAACTGGTCATTGAATGAACGCTCACCCACTGCTGCAATTCGTTTCGCTTCCGCTGAAATTTTGGCTATCTGGATAGAATTCTCAACAATTAACGGTTATGAACGCATAATTTAGAATAATAGAAACGAAAAATTCGTGTAATCTCTGCGGAGATACTACCCAGAAGAAAAGAAGGGGCAGGGAGGGGGGACAGGCAACAATCCAAGCAACCTCTGCGGAGATGTTACAAGAAAGAAGAGTGGGAAATGTTAATGAAATCATGGCCTAATCCCGAAAGCCCGACTAATCTTGAAGTGGATTTTGCGCTCAAAACTCCATCAGACGGCCAAAACGGACAGCCTTAAGGACAATGTTTGGTAATAACTTGTCGTCTTCTGCATATCTTCTTAAACGGAACAGGGAAATACCAAGGCCGTCAGAGGGATCCCAAACAGGCCATGAGTACGTGCTGCTGGAATGCGCCGATGATTTCAGTGGCTCACATGGGGAGTAAATTATTGACAGGCGAATTACCGACAGTTTGCTACGACGGACACCAGAATTCCCAGCAGGCTGACCAGCAGGAGATGCACTGCTGGAGAAAGCAGCTAATAACGCAAAAAACCCCCAAATCTCAGATCTCAAACTTTGAAGTTTTCAAAAAATACTAAGAATAATACCTAAAGACGGATGCTGTTCATGAAAAAATAAAGGTTAACAAATAAGCTTTAAGCTGTCCTGTGGTAAAAATCACTCACGCTCCATGAAAACATTGTCCACAACTTTGATTGGTGGTTCCAGCAAATGTCGAGCAAGACGAATACCGTATAAAC